TTTTAAGGAATACTAAAGAAATATCAAGTCACTTACTTGATTTTATAAAATCAGAAATAGAAAAAAAAAACAACCTTTGTGAGAGAAAGAAAATAAAATAATACTAACACTTACCTGATTGCTAAAACCAGAAATCGAGATCCAATTATTGAAATTGTTTTGAAGCTTGAAGATGATGAAAACAAAATAATTTCAAAACTTGAGAGATCAAAGAAGATTGAAGATTGTGCTGATAACGTGTTATGAAATAAATCTAAAAGAATAACTATAAGAGAAAATATTTAGAGGGAAAGAAAGTATTTAGAAGGAGTAAGAAGATCTTATTCAAGTATGTATTTACAAATGAAGTGAAGGAGTCGATTTATAAGCTAATAACTCCTTATGTAGATTGAATTTATAAGATGAAGATAACACTTAAGAATTAGATAGACTAAATTTTAATCTAATCTAATTTACATTAAATTTAGATATAGATAATATAAATGGATATTTATAAAAATATTCATAACAATAATCAAAATAATCTAAATCTTTTTTGTTATACAACTTTGAACCCTCACATATATTAATCTCTAAATTTGACAAAAGAAATAAGTTTCTCAAAATAATACCGAAATGTTAAATTTTGATATTTTAACTTGAAGCTTTTATACGGATCTTGAAATTGTGGAATAAAAAAAAAAAAAACTACTTTCCATCCTATAAATCCAAGTCTCTTGAGACTATTAAGCAGCTTGATCCACTCGATGAATTTCGCATTGATTGTGCTGAATGACCTGATTATGTGTGTGTTTGTTTTTTTCTTAAAACCATTTGCATCTGAAAAACTGCGCCAACAAATTGTGATAAAACTATGCAGTTGTACGTTAAATAAAATGGCACTGCCATTAATGTTGTTTTCCTGTAGAAATAAAATTTCTGATGTTGTCCCTAGATTTACCAGATAGCATAGCCTTTAGTCTTATATTTATTTTCGGATCCCCATATGAAGTTTCCACTTTTATTTTTTTAACTTTGCAAAGCATATTGATCTAATTATGATTAACAACAATTTCTACAATATTACTTGACTTTCTTTATATGCCTAATTTAACAAAGCAGGTCAAAAAATTGTTTCTAATTTCAAGTCTGGAGGGCTAATGCTTGGTTTTTTGTTGACCTTTCTTAATACAGACACATTAACATCTTCCATGTTTTTTTAAAAAATGAAATGAACCTCCGCCTTCTTCAATGGTTTATTCCATTGAAATGCCGTTAAATTCCAATTGGTGTATATTATCAGTTGAGAATTCGTCAACTCAAGAATTATGTATGTGCTACTTCCAGGAAAAACATGATTAATCATCGGAAAAAAATAGAGAGAAACATATGATGACCTTTTCTTTCCAAATTAAAAGTTGTCTTCTTTTGCAGGACCTAGTAATTGAAGTCCTATTACAAACAAAGACTGACTCAAGATTTCGGTTCAGACTTCATACTTTTCCCATTATTACACCTATAAATAGACAACAAATATGCGCTAATGTCACACCCACCAAAGAGCTTAATTTCTCACCAGCCATTACATAATCGTCCATCATGGCATCCAAAGCTTTTCCATTCTTCTCATTCACCCTCCTCCTTTTACTTCCCCTGTTGTTTCAGGCTGTTTTAGCTTACTCAAATGAAAAAAAGCCATCCCCATTTGAGTTTCTCCAGCATCTGCAAGGATGTCATAAGGGAGAGAAGGTTAAAGACATACATAAACTGAAAAAGTATCTCGAAAGTTTCGGTTACTTGAGCTATAGCAAGAACGAAACTCATGCCAACGATGATGATTTCGATGATTTCTTGGAGTCTGCCATCAAAACTTACCAGCTCAACTACAATTTAAAGACGACTGGGACTTTGGATTCCAAAACTGTATCAAAGATGATGTCGTCTCGTTGTGCGGTAGCAGATATCATCAATGGGACTACCGGGATGCGTTCCGGCAAGAAAAGGCAGCACCCTGCCGGCTCTAAATCTTTTCATACAGTTGCGCACTACGCCTTCTTCCCAGGAAACCCCAAATGGCCAGAGTCTAAGTCCCATCTCACCTACGCATTTCTTCCAGGGACCCGAGCTGATGCCATGAACCCTGTTGCAAGAGCTTTCCAAACATGGGCTGCAAATACACACTTTAGCTTTTCTCGGACTGAGGACTTTGCAAATGCTGACATCACAATTAGTTTCGAAAGTCGGGATCATGCAGATGGAAACCCTTTCGATGGCCCTGATGGAACCTTAGCTCATGCTTTCGCGCCATCTGATGGGAGATTCCACTATGATGCAGATGAACAATGGTCTGTAAGTGTAACCCCTGGCGCATATCACTTGGAGACTATTGCATTGCATGAAATCGGACACCTTCTTGGTCTGCACCACAGCTCAGTTGAGGGGGCCATAATGTATCCCACCTTTACGGCCGGAGAAAGCAAGGGTTTGCATGGGGATGATATTCAAGGAATCAGGGCTTTATACAACAAGTGAGGAGCCAGACCTAGCAAGTGAAATTAATTTGCTCATCAATATTGAAAAATGTTGCATTTTACGGTATGCTAAGATACAGCTACAGGACAAATTTTTTATATTCATTCGTTTGGTTTCAAATCATTTAGAAATTATAGTCCATTCATGTATGGGAATAAATTAATTAGAGATGGTGATGTTTCTATTTTCCAGTTACATCAGTGTAAAGTTTGTTAATTTTAGACAATTTTATAAGTTTCTACAGGAATAATAATCTATGAAATCAGTCATTAAATTTAACGATATCTGAATGCTGGTCATGCACAAAAATTTTAAAACCAATCTGATATCTATGAAGAAATCATTTTTTACATTTATTTTATATTGAATAGTTGAAACTTTTATACTGTCAAAATCTATTTTAAAACTAATTAAAAAATTTAGATGCATGATTTATATATATAAACAAAAACACGAATCTAACGGTTGAATTAACAAACTTATTGAGGGAGGGTGTGTAGGCTTGACACCAGTTAAAGTCGATCTCTCCTTTTATATTAGTATTATTTTACTTACTAGTTGTTTCAATTGGCGAAACGAAAAGAAGAGAAAATAGACACTATATTTTTTCCACATGTTTAAATCATGTATTATTGACATCAATGAACTAAAAACAGTGAAACCAAAAAAAAAACAAAAAGAAAAAGAAAAATCTGGTAAAAGAAAATGAAAGGTAAAAAAGATGACATGGCTTTAACTGCCACATGGATTGCCACTTATAATGTTGTTGGCCGTATGACCACATTTAACCAAGTTAATATTGATATATTAGCCGATTTTTTTTTATCGAACAAAATTGATGATAAGTTAGAATCTTAAAAAAAATTAATCAAAATGAGATTGTATCATATTTTTAAATGATACATTTGATGAAAATAATATCTTAAATTAGATATTTATTTATTTATTTTATGTACAACAATTCAGAAGCTTACTAATGAGATGACCACTTCAGATATTATCACAATACCTAGATTTGTTGTGATGACTTTTTCTCGTGGCAGTATTATTAACGTAATTGTATTAAAAAAAATCAAACCTCCATAAGTATATGCTGCGGTTCAAAATTTTTTGAAGAAACTTTTATATGACCACCTTAAATATATATATATATATATATATATATATATCACAATAACTATTTCTTTGCCTTCACATTTGTGGAGATAGTAAAAACTATATATTCTTGTACAGTTTGCTATTTTGGGTTAAATTTTAATGAATGATGATAGAATAATAAGAATAACTATATAATATTTTCTTTTTTTAATGAGAAAATAGATTCATTAAAATTTAAATAAATTTTACGCAATGTAAGAGCAAATAAAATCTATTTATAGTTTATCTCAAGCAAATAATTCAACAATTATAAAGATTAATTATGTAAAAGAAATTGAAGTTAAGTTTTAAATTAAATAATAAATACAATTAACTGAAGTTTTAACCAAAAAAGAAAACAGAGTCCGTGGCTCGCTAGCTTTACGGATTATTAGCCGTCGATTCCATAAACGTCAATGGTCCACACTCCGCACCGCCCTTTCTTAAAAGAACAGATTCTATTGGTCCATTTACGCTGCACGCGGATTTCGAACCCTATTGATTCACAACCGTTGATAAGCAACGGTCTAGATTCACTCGTTTAAAAATCCTTCAAAAAGAAGCGGCAATTTTAAAGTTTCCCGCCTCCCACGAATTGTTTTGGTTATAAGTGGCCCGCAATTCCTCCCACCCTCTCCATCAGTTTTCTCGTCTGTGCCTAATTACTTTCTTTTATTGCTTTCCCGAGAAACAAACAAAGAAAATACCTTTTCGAAATGGCTCGCACAAAACAGACAGCCAGGAAATCAACGGGAGGCAAGGCTCCACGTAAGCAACTGGCGACAAAAGCGGCTCGCAAATCAGCTCCAGCCACCGGGGGAGTGAAGAAGCCAACCCGTTTCAGGCCTGGACAGTGGCGTTGAGAGAAATCAGAAAGTATCAGAAGAGCACGGAGCTGTTAATCCGCAAGCTTCCATTTCAAAGGCTGGTGAGGGAAATCGCTCAAGATTTCAAGACGGATCTGAGGTTCCAAAGTAGCGCTGTCGCGGCTCTCCAAGAAGCTGCCGAGGCTATTTGGTGGGCTCTTCGAAGACACCAATCTCTGCGCTATTCATGCAAGAGAGTCACCATTATGCCTAAGGATATTCAGCTTGCTCGGAGAATCAGAGGAGAGAGAGCTTAAAAATTGTTTCATTTTCATTTCGTGTGTCATTGTTCCGTTTCCATCTTTGTAATTGTGGGTTTTGCTATATAAATTTCTGGTTTAATCTGACTAAAATTATTCTCTCTCAGCATTTTTGGTTTAAAAATGAATCTGCATAAAGCCTTTGGGGCACTACAACGATTGTATTCCTTTTTGGGTAGATGAGTTATGTCTGGGCCACATTTTGCATAACTTAAAAGCCTTCTGTGCCTCTGTTTTGAGGTACATGAATGACTCTACTCCTATTTCTAGCCAAAGGAATATATAGAGTTTGATACAGTGGCGTAAAGTTGGGCAGGGGGCTTAGCATAGCCCGGAGTCCCAGGACCCAATTGAGGCGAACATGGAGTCAGGGAATAATCTAAATTGTCAAGATTTTAAATGAAAACAAAAATACGACCGTTACGCAATTAAGAAGATCAGTAGTAAAGGATTCCCAAAAAGCAGCATCATTGAATCAAACAAAGAGAAGACAGAAAAAAGGAAGAGAAAGATTTCATCTTTACTGGGAGATGGACAACAAAGTTGCTGCTCCTCAGCACCCCAGAGGTAAATATATCTGCTTTTCGATCAGAATGGACCTATTTTTTCATTTTAATCTTGGGATTATATCTTGTAACCAATTTGTGATTTTTTTTTTTAGAATCCTGATCTTTTATTTGTTTGGATCATGTCATTGGCATATGTTTGTTTAGTTTCCTCTTGTTTTGGTGTGTTTTATAGATGAAAACGGGGTTCTTGATTCATTGCAAACATATGATTGTTCTTGAATTTTTAAGTGTAAATAGCCTTTCATTCCATTTTCTGGGTTCTCCTTTTTCTTTCTTCTTTTCTGATATTTCGGGGTTTTATTTAATGCATCAATTTCCTCATGGACTTTTGTTTTTCCCCTTTTTTTTTCCTTTTTGATACTATTCATGGGATTTTCTGGGTTTATATCAAATTTGTTTTATTGTTCTCTTTATGAATGTCATCTGGGCTTGCTTTGATATGGTTTCTTCCTTGATCCTTTTCTTTTTATATATTTTGCCCCATTTCTTGGTTCTTTGTTGGTCCTTTGACTACTGTCCAAGTTCCTAAAAATTTTGGCCACCGTTTCAGGGGGAGGCAAGGTGAAGAATGAAGTAGCGAAAGGAAATCGGCGAGCTCTGTGTGATATTGGAAATCTTGACACTCTACAACTCATTGAAGGGAAGCCCCCTACCAATATTACCCGACCAATTACAAGGTCCCTCTCTCTCCTCCTCCGCCCCCACCCCCCTCTTCTCACTGCATCTTGTGTTTTTCTAACCTGTTTTCTTTTTGCTTTTGCAGGGGCTTTCGTGCAAAACTGTTGGCAAATGCACAAGCAGCAGCACTAGAGAATAAGGTAATTTCCCTTCTGTCACTTTTTTCTCAATTATGTTTTTTCAGTATTGAATGATTACCAGCTCTATTGCATTGAAAATCTATTAGTACCCTTAATTTGCAGAACTCAGTTGTAGCAGCAGCTGGTGATGGGTTACCAGTTAATGGCAAAGGCAGCAATGTGAAAAAGGTAGCTAAAGCTAACAAGAAGTTATCTAATAAGCCAAACCCTAATACCACAATTGCTAATAGCTCTGATGATGAAGAAGAAATGGTTGAGAAAAGAGGTGGAAAGCAGGCATCTAATAAGCCAAAACCAGAGACTGCCATCCTGATAAATTCAAATGATGAGGGAAATGTCAATCCGGTTAGTGAAAAAAGCTTGCATCAAAGGTCCTTTAGGAAGAATGTTAAGACACTCACTTCAATTCTTAGTGCCCGAAGCAGGGTAATTTAGATGTTTTCTTTTTCAACTGTAGCTCCATGTTATTGTTTTTAGATCAATTGAAAGATATTTTATTTGTTCTTTTTTGTAACTGATTTTGGCTTATGCTTCAGGCTGCTTGTGCTGTGGTAGCAAATGAGTTAAAGGATCATGTTGTTAATATTGATGCCACTGAGGTGAATGATGAATTAGCAGTTGTAGAATATGTTGATGACCTCTACAAGTTCTATAAGTCCACAGAAGTATGTTGTCTTAATCATTTATTTTCCCCATCTCTCTTCTCCATGTCCCTCCTATTTTATTTCATTCATTATCTCGTAATTGGTAAAATGGCTGCAGAATGATACCCAAGTCCTGGATTACCTCTGCTCACAGCCACTCATAAACGTACAGATGAGAAAAATTCTAGTGGACTGGCTGATTCAAGTTCACAACTCATTTCAACTTATGAGTGAAAGCCTCTATTTGACCATTAATATACTTGACCGATATCTCTCGAAGAAGGTTGTATCGAGGTATGAACTTCAGTTGGTTGGTCTGGGTGCAATGCTCATCGCTTGCAAATATGAAGAAATCTGGCCTCCACAGGTAGAGGTCTTCTCTCTTGTTTGTATAATTAGTGTTGAAAAATTTGATGGTGTTTCAATCTCCACTCATTTGAAGTGATTCTGAACATTATTATCAAATTCGCAGGTTAAGGACTTGGTCTGCATATCAGACAATGCTTATGTTGAGGAACAGGTACTTGCAATGGAGAAAGCAATCTTGGGGACGCTAGAGTGGTATTTAACAGTACCTACACCATATGTGTTCCTTGTTCGATATATCAAGGTTTCTGTTTCACCTTATATGGAGGTAGTTTTTTTTTTTTTCTTTTTGGCTCAGTTAGAGGTATTACATATAATTTTGTTGAAGCACTTCTCTAATTTGTTTTCATTTCTGTAATACTGGTACGTATATCTTGTGCTTTTTGGCCTTATTTAGATGGAGAACATGGTGTTTTCTTGGCTGAACTCGGCATTGTGCATTATAACACTCTTGTTTTGTACCCCCAATCTATGATTGCTGCTGGAGCTGTTTATGCAGCACGTTGTACTCTTAATAGGAGCCCTTTCTGGAGTGAAACTTTGAAGCACCATACAGGCTACTGAGGAACAACTAATGTATGGTCTTTCTTCCTTTTATTCCTAGATGTTTTGTTTTACTCTATGTGAGTGGCTGTTCAGATAAGCTGGCATACATACATACATGTTGCAGGAATTGTGCAAAGCTTTTGGTTGCTTTTCACCAGATGGCTGCAAAAGAGGAGCTTATGGGGATTTATTCAAAATTCGGAAGTCTAGGTAGAGATTGTGTTGCTCTCTTACCTCCGGCCAAAACTCTATTGGCCTCAGCATGAACACCCCCTGGCAGGCGTGTCACACAAAAATCATTATCCAATAGACTTGTGTTTAACTAGATTACTGTTCTTTACTGGCAAATTGAGAGTATTGAATGCAAAACTTACTTCTGCTTCTGCTTCTCGTCTCAATTTAGGGTATAGAAGTTGTAGTGAAGGTTGTGTAATTACTTTTTCCACCAAAATTCTCGAGTTACAAGGAGGAAGACAAGTCACCCAAGCAAGGTCTCATTATAATTACTTAAATACATGAAATGAAGTCTAAACTCTGAAGGCATGTTTGCTTAGCTTGTAATGGCTAGTCCCAAACTAATTTGGAGTACATTGATACCAACACAGCATCTTTGGGAAGATCAAAACTGTACAGACAGGAATCCTGGTGAATCTAATCTACTCTATAACTAAAGAAGAGGTACTTCCAATCTATTCATTATACAATTATACAAATAAAGTGCCAGAACATGATTGACAATAATACAGCAGAGCTTGTCTTTTACAACAAACCTGTTAATGAAGAATCCTCCATACAGCAAAATCATTCCATGCACTTGATCTCAAGATCCTATATTTGAAACTGATACACTCCGATCAAGTGGTACTGAGTTACCAGCTTCAATGCTTTTTTGCCTCGGGACTCTTAGGCATGCTGTAGGGAAAAAACCGTGTTTCCTACTTTCAGATGGCCTTTCCTGTCGCTTACACAAATTTCTGCCTCAGAATGACTGGCGTGGTTGAGAGACGACAAGCAAAGATGAATGCTGAAATCAATAATTCATTCAAACTCAGACTTTGGACAGGAAAAAGTGAATGAGGCCTTTCAATAAGAACTTTAAAATCCAAAGCTAATGATGATATAAGGCTACAATCATTTCAATACATATTATGACGAAACACGGCATAAACTATGTCACTATGTTGACCACCAAAAAATAAAAATTGCCAACTATATTGTATCCAAGCATGTAGTGAAAGGTTTCAGAAACCAACTAAAACAACTGAAGGTTGTAGGCTCTTCAGTATCATAGAACTTTAAAATTTGTTTTCATATACATCCGGCATCTAAATGATCCACAATCTCGGTAATAAAAGACTATTTCTGTTTGTAAATGTTTCACTACTTGATTTTAAATTAAAATAAATCATGACCATAATGATTTTGATTTGTATAAATTGATACTCACTGTGGGAAGAAAAGTTCTTGCTTGTTTCAGAAAGAAGATGCAATGTTACTTTAGAGTATGACAAACAACAATAGCAAAAGAAGAGTCCATACAGTTACATGTGCTTGCTTACTCTCTGATTAGGACATCGGTACAAGTCTATTCTCTTTTAAACTTTTAACTTTGAATACTGAAAGTTAGTTGGGTTGGCTGTAATGGTTATAAAAATTGCCCTCGTCAATGTCCTATGTGCATAACTATTTTCTGTCCAATGAGCTTATATGCACAAGCTCCTGGTCAGGCACAAGTTCTTGTGCTTGGAAAATTGGCACCTATAAATGATGCCTACCCTTTTTCAAAATGCATATTAGTAACTTATAAGAGGGAAAGGAAGAAGTTAGAGAATTGAAAGAAACTATACCCATCATCTAATGGAATCAGAATAAAACACTAACCTTTGTCCCAGCTACAATGGTACCATTAAGGGGATGACTTGCACATGTGGTTACACCTTCAGATAATGGAACAAAAACATTTTGCTTTCTTTGATAGTTCATCTCGGACAAACTCTGCTGATCCCCCCTAGAACAAGAAAAGATACACAAAGGAAAAAAGGATATTTGAAAAAGAAAATCAACACCTGGAAGCAACATGCAGTCACCCTCATATGAGCGGTGTCTTGTACATGAAAGTAAATGCCATGACTATAAAATATCTAATGCAGCCATCAAAAAGAGATTACAACACAACACCAAGGACAGCACTCCAAAAACTAAGCAGCATTTATTGCTACAAAAACAAAACAGTTTGTTTTGTTTCATTCTTACTCACACAAGAACAGTACTAAGATTTGACAAGTTTTCACCTAACAAAGCAAATGTAAACCAGGTTGTCCATCCAAAATAACCAATTCAACCTCCAGAGAGCCTGATGGGTAATGTAAGAATGTGTAAGGAGTCTCTTACTTGTAGTCCACATGGCTGGGAGAGCTGGTATCTGGATAAAAATCTAAAATATGAATGCCACAGTCAGATGATGATCCGACCACGTAAATCTGCAGCAGACATAATCTAGTCTGAGATAAGACTTTTTTTATGAGTAAAACAGTACACTGCTCCAAGGGAGAAGTATGACTCTTTGAGACCCTGTTGTGAAAAAAAAACAAACCCAGAAATGGCTATCTGATGCAGATGCTGCTAAGGGTTGAATGATGCTGTTAATGGAGACAGTACTGCATGCATTGTCCCATACGCAAGGTAACAATCATAGAATATAAGTTGTCAAAAGTACAAAAGTGAAGGATTATATGACAATGATTTAGCTGATTGTTGCACAATGATCAGAAGTTATGTTTCCTTTAATGTGACCAATAATTTCCCCTCCAAGTAAATTGACACACATGCCCAGGTTATCCTGAGTTTTGCAACCAATTGTGAATAGTAGACTTGTGGACTGGGCTATTTCTGTAATATCATATAAAAAAAAGTTGAACAAGGAAATCCAGTGAAAAAAAAACCTTACAGAAGATGTTGGCAGCCATGATGGCTTTCTCAAGTATAGTAGATCAGCTGATATGCTGGCTCCATTTCTAACAAATTCAAATTAAAAAGAAAAGAACAAGAACAAATAAATGTAAAGCTACTATACAAAGTTGCCAATACCCCTATAAATACATGATGAAACTGTAAATATATTCAACTTTTACTTACAACCAAGCTGGAGGAGGGCAATGAACGTGTGTAACTCTTAAATTATAAATATCCAAAACACCTGACCTACAAGAAATGAGGAAATAAACACAAGAAAACATCAAAGTTGGGGCTTCCAATCTTCTTGGCCTCTAATGCGAGTTGCCTTATTGGCAAATGAACATTTTAATCATGATAAAAATAACAAAGGAGATTGAATCCATGGCCCAATAATATTTAGTTATAATTTCTGCAATCAACATTTTAATACAAATGAATCCTGAAGATATTTGGATTTCATACAGCACTTCTCGCAAAGTGACCTGAAGAAATTGCTGATGCTTGGTTGGGATTTGTATAAAAGGTTCTAGTGATAAAAAGAGGTAGTGTTGCAAATATGCTAAAAAAGATAGTGCTAGAGGCAGAGAGGAAAACTAGAGTAGTCTCTACAATACTAAGTGTCATAACAAGTGTAGATAAACAAAGGGTAGAGAATAAGTAAACGGCAGAATAAGGCTACGAATAGGGCAGAGAATGGCTAAGTAGAAAAAATTTAAGAGAGAGAGAGAGCTAAGACTGAAAGTCTATTTGCCATGTCTAAAGATCTAGTTCTGCCAAAACAAATTGTCAAGGCTCTATGTATAGAGCAGAAAGAAACAATTACTCAACAACAAGCTTTAAAGAACATAATGAGTAACAGTATTAAAATGAGCTTTAATATACAAATGGGTAACAATGATTAAAACCCCATTCTGTGGCCATTGAGAGTAGCGGGCTTTTCTAACACCAGGCCATTAATGATGTAATGAGACTTGATCCTGAGTAAAAGGTAAGAGGGTGCTTCCCATAAAACAACTCTGGAAGAAATAATAAATTAGTAGCCAAAATCAAGCATCTACAGGATTCAAAACCTAAAACGGAAGTCACTCTTTAGCAAATGGTTATTTATTGAGGGTGGAAGCTTTGGCAAAATATGTGCACAATCAGTAGATTCATGATCAACACCAATGAATAGGTAGGCAAATGCATTCCATATCATGACTGCTATATATTTTCTTTTCTTTGATTATTAATCACTGATGAAAAAATTCACAGGCAATAAATTGGTATCATTCCACAACCTACCATCCATCATCTAGGTGGAATGCCAATTGATATGGACAAGAAGGATCAAGATCAATGGAGTGTATTTCCTTCGGAGCAATATCTGATTGTGCCTGAAAAGAGAAGGGAACAAGTCATTAAGAGCACATTATGGAAAGCAACAACATTGATTATGTTTTTACTATAACATGAAAGTATGCTGCCCTGGATTTCATATTCCATAAACTAAGAACCCTTCACATCTGCAAGTTTTTACATAAAGATATGAAAATGCACTTTCATGAACAGGTAGACTCAAGAGGATATCGGCATACATAAATATTGGTAGTTCATAGGCAACGAAATCATCCACCTTAAAGCCCTTCAGAAAAGAAAGTCATTTCCCTAGGGAAAGAAAGTGGCCAAGTTCATCATGAATACCTTTAAAGATCCAATCTTTGCCAGCATTGTTGCTAACTTCAAAGATATTAGAGGTGGATGACCTGCCTGAATGAGTCAAACATTACAAATGTCACTGCATGTATCATTAAGATACAACTTTATCAACTACGAAAGCTATATTAACCATATGCATAAAGATAAGTCATCAAACAAATGGATCCTGACAATGACAAAAGGTGTCTAAGATTGCTGCTAGCACCATTTGGACTGTTTGTCCTTAGCAGGGTTGTTAGTCCCAGCAACAGTCTGACGTACTTTTGCCAACATGCAACATATTACAAGCGGGGTACAAACAAAGATTTCATCCTGTGGGGGTGGCTAATGAATTTCATTACATGTCTCCCTTATATAAAATCTTGGGGATCATACATAACTCAAAGTAAATGCATAAGTAAAAGCTGAATAACCAATATTTATTATGCATCCTGATCACAATTAAGTCCTGAAATTGTTCCATATTCTGAATTCAGTATTCTCTGTCATATGTTAATAGATGGGGTTCGTTTTGCCTTATGGAAGAACTATGCATTCAGCTATGTACCATAAAAGTAAAAGATCTAATAGCTTTGTAAAAACAGGAACATTAATTTGAAAAGCTTTAAAAATCTAAAAGTACAATCACAAACTTGCGAATGCAAAATATATATTTTGAAATTTAGATTTATCTAAATGTAAATTATTAGAGGGGCTGGTTTACTTTTTAAAAGTAAATAACCATATTTAAC